AAACCTAACAGCTCTCTAAAGAGTCTTCATAATTCTTATGGTAGAGGTGTACAGAAGAACTGGAAACTTTCAGGAATTAACTTCCTATTTTCTTGCTAGTTTGCTGTTGACTCACCCCAACTCCCTGCACCCCGAGGTGTAAAAAGTAGCATCCAATATTCCAATAGTATGTAATACCATTAAAATGATTTCATTAAGGTTTGTCCAGTTTCTTTTTCTCGGCAGGATTCTTGGCTGGGAGTAGACACCAGAGATGTTAAATATTCATGGTATTCTAAGCTGGAAACACAGATGCCAATAACATAGTTTTCATTTGCTGTATGTTGTGCTCTCATATGCACAGATTTCTCCGTTGCTCATCGCCTCCAGTAGATTTTTATACCATTATCAAGTGGGTGAAGTAGATTACTGCTATGATCCAGCAGTAATCAGCTCACTCACTTTGTCTAAAGCAAAGCACACAGGACAACTGAGATCATGTTCACAATGTAAAACTGATAAAATAAATTTCAAGTATGTATTAATCTAGTAGTGCTTTAACCAGTAATTAACTTACTAAGATTATTAAAAAATATCTGTATTTTATGTCAACATAGAGGTAAATAGTAGAGCTGCAGCTACTGGTTAGGGTAATTTTGTGGTTTATAAGCATGAAGTTCTCCAGGGATTGTTTCAAGTTTCCTATGGGGTAATTTGCATTTGTATTTCAAGTTAGCTTGGAAAAAAAAAAAGGAAAAAAAAAAGCAATACATGGAAAGGTGTTTTTTCATCGAAACATAGAATAATCTGTATTCCATCAGCTTTATCTACATATAAAATAGCATTCTCACTGCTTTGAATGTGAAAATACACACAGAAATAAAAATAGGCATTATAAAGTTGCTGTCATGTGATTAACAGCTCTGAAGAAATCTACCAACTTTTCAATGCTAAGAACATAGTTTGGTTTCTCCAGGGGTGGAAATCTGCACAGCTCTGTTAAACTTAACAGAATTCCTTGGGTTTTCAGCTGGTTTTGGAGGATGGCCAAAAATGCTGGCAGGTAACCTGATTAGCGTAGACATTCCCACCTGAAAAATCTTCCACTTTTTAAAGGTATAGATAGCTTGAGGTCATAATAAGATTAACATAGCTTCGTGTAATTGCACAGCTGCCACAGTTGATTTATGTACCATAGCATTTTAATCAAATGAGTGTGGCAAATGGGGTTCATTTAACTCTTCAAAATGCAGAATGAACTGCTGAAAAACTTACCGGTTGTGACCTTTTGTTTAACAATATCTAATGTGTCCTCTCATTACAGGCTATCCAAATTAGTGATTTACCTGTTTGGAAAGCATTTACTTAAGGAAAAGGAAATTATTTGGGTTTTGTTTATTTTTTCTTCAAGATTGGCTAATCTTTACAATTTCCTCTTGGGCGTTGTACTGGGCAATAAGAAGAAATAAGGAGCTGCATGCAGCTCCCACCACCGTAGAGTTAATAGTCACTGGATTGTTTCTTAGGGCTCCCAGACTAAAAGGAGCAGAGGGAAATCCAAGCACTAGTTGCCAAAACACATTTAAAAACCTATTTTAATTGGTTTTGTTCATAGCTGCAGAGAGGACATCATGCATTGCTGAGGCCACTTTGATACGCCTTTATTTGACCAAGGCTCATGTGCTTATTCTCCTGATTTCCAGTTTAAGAGGGTGCTTCAGCTTGTGCTTGTCTTCATAGAACATAAGTAGATGTCAGTTTAATGTGGGTATGAGCTGACTGCAATATGAATCTTGAAGCACTGCTTAGCTGTGCAGTGTTTTAAAGATGAAATATGGCAAATTGAAAGTAAATTAGGTGATCAGAGACTTAGATACGTAAAATGGCCAAGAGCATCATTATTCACAAGATTTTTGACACTGTTTCTCATAAAATCCTCATAGAGAAATTGATGAAGTGTGGAGCAGATGAATGGGCAGGGAGGTAGGTGAAAAACTACTAGCCTTAAAGGGTTGCAATAGTAGCACAGAGTCCAGCTGGTGGCCAGTCAATAGTGTGGTACCTCAGGGGTCAAGACTGCCTTGCAAATGATACAAAACCTGGAAGAATGGATGATGCAGTACGTGGTTGTGCTGCCATTTGAAGGACCTTGGGATCCTGGAAAACTGGGCTGACAGTAACTTCATGAAGGTCGTGAAAGGGAATTGCCAAATCTGCCTCTGATAAAGGATTACTCAGGTACTAGTGATGGGAACTGACTGTCTGTAAAGCTGTTCAGGGGAGAATGACCAGAGGGTCCTGGTGAACATCAAGCTGACCATGAGCCAGCAATGTGCCCTTGCAGCAAAGAAGGCCAACAGCCTCCTGGGATATAATAGACAGAACATTGCCAGCAGGTCAAGGGAGGTGACCCTCTGCTCAGAACTGGTGAGATATATCTGGAGGTCAGTGTCCCATTCGGGCTCCCCAGCACAAGAGAGACATGGACATATTGGAGCAGAAAGGGATAGGAAGATGAACAAGATACTGGAGCATCTCATATGAAGAGAGGCTGAGAGAGCTGGAACTGGTGCAGGATTGAAGGAAATGGAGCCAGACTCTTCTCAGGGGCACCCTGTGACAGAACAACACAAACTGAAGTACAGGAGGTTCCATATGAGCGTAAGAAAAAGCCCACTTTTTTCTGTGAGGGTGGCACAGGTTGCCCAGAGAGTCTGTGGCGTCTCCATGCTTGGAGACATTTAAAGCATGACTGGGCACTGTGCTGGCCCACCTGCTCTCACAGATGTGTTTGAGCAGGGTCCAGAGGTGCTTTCTAGCCTCAGCTGTCCTATGATTCTGTGATCTCATGAAGAAGGTTAAATATATAAGAGGATATTTTCATTGCACTTCATTACACATGCCCAGTCATCTGTGGGTTACACGAGCACATTCCCTTATTGACTTCTCTTTCAATGTCAGGTTCTCCAATCCTCTCATCATCTTGGTGGCCCTTTGCTTTACTATCTACAATCTTTCCCCCTCTCTTGGACAAGGGAAGTTAACTCTGTGTAGCATAGATGATGGGTGTGTTTCCTCTGGTAAGATTTAGCTGCACAGTAAGATTTTTCCACAACTCTCATGCCCAGTTATAAGTATCAAAATAGGGTTCCTAAAGTCTAAAAAGAAATAAATATATTTTTTATTGGCTTCTTTTTTTTTTCTTTTCAGTAATGCAGAAAGGAGATAATCACAAGGGTAATATTAAAGATAACAGATTTGTACGTATTCTGGCTGGAGACAAGTGGTATTCTGCCTTTAACTTTTATGGAAGGAGGGAATGACAGACAGTTTTATTGAAGATATGCTGAACTGGGACTGTGCATAGTTGGACTAAGAAAATCACTCAACCTCCTGTAAAACACAGAGAGCCCTGGAACAGCCCAGACTGAAAAATGTACTTAGCTAAAGGCTGTTAGAGAAACCCGCAGGAGAACATATCTTTTTGCAGCCAGTATGCAAGTTTCTAGCCGAGAGGCTGTTTACATACTTCTATGTGCAGAATTGGTCTTGATATCTTTATTGGAAGACCTTGCAACGAGCCACAGCAAATAATGGCCTCATTGTGTGAGGTTTGCCTGCATCCCTCCCTTGATGCCATTTTATTTGAAGGCTAAGTCTTGCTGAAATAATTCTGACATAAGTTTCTATACCAAAACTTTATAGGAATACTTGACAAGGAATTATATATGAGTCTCTCTAGTAACCAGTACTTTTAACAAGAATGCTCTTCCCCTTCAGGAGTGACTAGCTGGGACATTGCATTCCCTGTTCTAAGTTGGCCAAGATGTAGAGAATACTAACCTTTTATCTGTGTCTGTTAAGTAAAGAACTGATAGGAACTGATCAGGTTTCCCACTCCACAACAGATTATCTTGGGAATGCTAATGTCAACGGTCCAGAACAGAGCCAAGAAGTGATGGTTGATTGCTTATTTGACGCTTGGATTCACTACCTGGGCCTCTTTCATTTCTAGTATAGATGAGTTCCTTGAATTCATTTTTGTCTGTAGCAGTAGAAGAAAAAGACAGGAGTGTCATCTGTTGGGTGTTGGATTCATGATGGACTTTGGATCAGTCATTACAGTTTCTAAGAAAGGTGTCAAAACTCAATAGTAATATCTTTTGCCAACAAGAAAACAGTGGTGTTGGTTTATAAAAGGGAAGTGAAGAATCTTCTCTTAAGGAATAGTTGCCTGTCCTGTTTATGTGTGAAATCACTTGGTGTACCTGTAGAAGCTGTCCAGACAGTGCATTTGAAATCTTCCTATTGCTAACAAGGAATGAAACTGACAGCACTCCTTAGATCTTTGACATGGCTTGACTGGAGGTTTTTAGATACTGTGGTGTGAATAAGACTAAATAATCTCATTCCTGTGTTGATAGTAACAAGTAGCCCCGAGGCAAGGGCATAGGTGCAGAGTGAGAGAATGATGGCTGCAAAGTATGGTGTGTCATGAAATCTGGTGTTTTCTCTTTGTTCTTGTGAAGTGCAGCAAAATCTGCTTCCATTTAGAAGGTGTCAGTTTTGTGAGAATGATCAGCTTGAAAACATGTGCCCTGACATTCAGAAACCAGAAATCTCTTAAATACCTTGATTTAGGAGTGATGAGGCAGTTCCTGATTTTGAACGATAAGTGTCAATAGTAGAGGGTGTATTGCTGTACTGTTGGATCCTCAGTTGGTATCATTGCTCAGTGAAGTGGCTGCTCTAAATCGCAAGCCCATCCCAAACCCCTTTGTGACCAGAAGAAGCAGTTAAGACTGAGTGGAGACTATCCATACTTGGCTTTCTGACCTGTACTGATGCTAGACTTGTTTACTAAAGTGTATATGTATAGCTATATACCAGCATAGCTGCTGTTACGGCTGCTCAGGAATAACATATTTACACCAAGTTCTGTCTTAACAGCTGTACTTTGAATGTGTTTTGTTATTTTCTTGTTACTCAGAAGTGGTCCTTAATATATTTAATATTTTTAGTGCCCTACAGATACCAAAGCAACGTTTGGGGTCCACCTTAAAGTAGTAGGAGACTGGACAGGTATGTAGAAAACCAATTCCTTTTCAGAGACAAATACCTTTACTTGGAACTGTTATCCCTTTCTGGCTTCAGCACAATTGTATTTTAGTTGCAGTGTATTCTTATTAGAGATTGTTCATGCTTCTTTTCTCACAGTAGTTCTTATTACACTCTTGGTGCAACTCCTGCTTTCTTCAGATGTACATTTCTTCAGATAACACATACTTGCAACTGCTAACAGATCTTATGATTGCAATGTCATAACTTTCAGTGTTCCTCTGTTTCTGCCTCTTTCACTTACTTCCC